TGTTGAAATAAACAATACATAAAAAAAAGGTTTAAAATCTACAAAAAGATTCAGAGATATCATGGAACCATTCCCTACTCGTATTCTTGTAGTTTCTGGAGCACAAGAAGGAAGTGCTCTCTCTAGGACTATGAAAACTATTTGTGATGAAATTTCTCGTTTAGGATCAGTTCCAGTATTTGTTAGTAATTGGCATGATGCATATGCTGAATTAAAAGAGACCATTGATATTAGTGCTATATTAGTTGATTGGGATCAAGATTATGTAAGATGTAAAGATGCTATGAAAAAGTATATTATGCCAAGACATGCACAAATCTTTGACCATAAAGTTCTTGTACTTCCTGCATCTCAAAGAGACCCATTTTGTGGTTCTAAATCACCATTAATGAAATTAGAAGCAGAAGGATATAATCTTGTTGTACCACGTTCTTATCCACAGGAAAAAATTGATCAATTGCAAAATGTTCCAAGTTATGATGAACTTCTTAATTTCCTTGAAAAAGAAAAGCTTAAAGTTGTTCCATCACCACTTAATGTTATTCGTTCTTTTAAGTCAATTAACCGTAAAGTTTTAATATTCCTTTATACTGAGAAATTAGTTGTTGAAAGACTTCCAATTCAAGTTCTTGAATCAATTCAAGCATATATATGGAAGAATGAAGAAACTCCACATTTTGTTGCTAAGAGAATTGTTGCTTCAAGTTATGAATATGTAGAAGATATTCTTCCACCATTCTTTAAGGCATTAGTTAAATATGTTCATAAAGGGAAATATTCATGGCATTGTCCAGGGCACATGGGTGGTGTTGCATTTCTTAGATCACCACCAGGAAAATTTTTCTTTGATTTCTTTGGAGAAAATATGTTAGCTGCTGATTTGTGTAATGCTGTTGGAGAGTTAGGAGGTTTATTAAATCACTTTGGTCCAATTGGAGATGCTGAGAAATATGCATCAAAAGTATTTGGTTCTGAATATACATATTTTGTTATGAACGGTACTTCAACAGCAAATAAAATGGTCTTTCAAGGAACTGCTGTTGCTGGAGATGTTATTGTTCTTGATAGAAATTCACATAAAAGTTCCATGCAAGCTATTATGTTAGGTAATTATAAACCAATTTATGTAACCCCTGTAAGAAACAAATATGGTATTATTGGACCTATTCCATTCTCTGAATTTAATGTTGATTCTCTTTATAAGAAAGCTCAAAAATTACCATATATGTCTTTAGCTGATATTCAAAATGATATCAAATTATTAGTATTAACTCAATGCACTTATGATGGTATTTGTTATAATGTTGCTAAAGTTCTTTCTAAATTACAAGAATTAGATACAAAGAATATGTTATTTGATGAGGCTTGGTTCCCTTATGCACATTTCCATCCATTTTATGCTTCATATCATTCAATGAATAAATCTTATTTTGATAAACTTGAAGAAGACTCTTTGTTCCATGGTAGTGCTTATATCGAAGAAGATAGTGAAGATGAAGAAATTCATCGTGGACCAACTCCATCTGCCTATAAAGGAACTATTTTTGCTACACAGTCAACACATAAAGTATTAGCTGCTTTGTCACAAGGAAGTATGGTTCATGTAAGAAATTCACCTGACCCATTCCACTTTGATCGTTTCAATACTTATTTCCAAGCAAACACTACTACATCTCCACAATACAGTTTGATTGCATCATTAGATATGTCAAGTGCTATTATGGATGTTTCAGGAGAATCAATTCTTGATGACGTATTAAAAGAAGTTATTTCATTTAGATGTGCTATGGCACGTGTGAAAGTTGAATTTAAAGAAAGTGAAGAAGGATGGTTCTTTGGATGTTGGCAACCAAAAGACATTTTGTCAGGAAAGAAAAATATATATGACACTTCTTATTGGGTTCTTCCACCAAGTGGACCAGATGCATGGCACGGATTTCCTAATATTGGAAAGAACCAATATCTTCTTGATCCTCTTAAAGTTAACTTATTAACAGTAGATGAAGAGGCAGGTGTTGAGATTCCTGCATGTGTTGTTGTTAAATTCCTTGCAATGAATGGAATTATTATGGAAAAAATGGGATATTATACTATGCTTTCATTATTCTCTATTGGGTCAAGAAGAGGAAAATCAGCTACTCTTGTTACGGCATTGACTCAATTTAAGAAGTTATATGATAGTAATACTCAATTAAAATATGTGTTTACTCAAGAAAAGAATTTAGAATTTGGTAATGTTGGATTGAAAGATTTTTGTGAAATGATGAATCCCGAAATTAAGAGAATGCAAGAAATGGAGAATGAAGTTTATTCAGGAAAACTTCCTGAGGTTGCTTGTATTCCATTTAAGGCTTCATGTGCTTTAGTTGATAATAATGTAGAATGGGTTCCAGTTGAACAATTAACAGGAAGAACAAGTGCATTGTTAGTTGTTAATTATCCACCAGGAATTCCTACTGTTATGCCAGGAGAAGTTTTTGATAAGATTCATACTGACTTGATGGTTGCTCTTGCTCATTTTGGAGAAAAATGGCCAGGATATGAATTTGAAGTTCATGGATTAGTTTGCAAGAATGGAAAATACTATATTCCATGTTTGAAGCAATGAATAGAATTTATTCTTTTTCTCTTAGTTTTTTAGATCTTTTTATTTGTCATGGAAGATTACCCAATACCTCGTATTGTTGATGAAAATACATTTGTTAGAGAAATTACTGCTACAGACCATATTAATAAAAGTCTTGCTGAAGCATATTTAAAACATTTACAAGAAACAAATCAAGAGTTTGACTCAATTGATGAAAGTGAAGAATGGGAAGATCCAATAGGAGTTTCATGTATGTCAATAATGCCAGAAGGAGAAGATACAAGAATTTATTTACATGAGGAAAAAGAAGAAAATAATTAAAAACATTACTTTAAAAAATGAGTTGAATAATATAAGAATATTTTATTTCTTTTAGAAGAATTACAAATAATTTAATATTTCTTTTAATTGGAAAACGATGAGTTGGTTACACGTAATTCCAAAGAAGCGTTTCACAAATAAGTCGTGTTTAGGGTTTGAAGAAAAATCTTTTTAAAATGATAATCTAATTCTTATGTCTCGCAGAGGAAAGAAACAAAATAAACAAGTTCAACAACCTACTACACCAGTTGTTTGTAATGTTCCTGTTAAAGACCAACAAATTCTTCCTCGACAATTAGAAGATTTATTAAAAGCTGCAATTAAACATTATGGAAACAGACATTTTGATAAAGCAATTGAAAACTGTGATAAAATTTTAGCACATTTCCCAAGTAATGGAGAAGCATTTTCCCTTCTTGCTGCTTGTCAGTATTCTAAAGATCCTAAAAAAGTCAATGTTGAAGATATTCTTGGACGTCTTAAAAAAGGATTAATTTATAATTTTGGAAGTAATACTTGCTGGCACTTATATGGTATTATTTTAAGAACTGAAAAACATTATGAAGAAGCTGCTAAAGCTTTTAAAAGACTTGTTTCTCTTGACAGAACTAATTTTGGAATTCAAAGAGAATTATATTGTCTTCAAGTACAAAATGGAGATTATAAAGGAGCATTTGAAACTCGTTCACTTTTATTTTCTGCACAAAGTGATATTGAAAGTAATCTTCTTGGTAGAGCTGTTGCTGCAGATTTGAATGGTCAAACTGAAGTAGCTATTGAAACAATGGAATTGCATCAAAAGAAATTCATTAATAAAAAAAGTTCTCCTAGTGATAAATCTGATAGTCTTTCATATATTATTTCTCTCTATAAACAAAAAGGAGATTATAAAACTGCTCTTAAACTTATAACTGAAAATGAACATATTCTTATTGATAAAATTATTACTCTTGAACGTACTGCTGAACTTTATCTTCTTTTAAAAGAAAATGATAAGGCATTAGAATTATATAAGAAACTTCTTTCGATTAATAGTGATAAAATTGAATATTATTATGGTGTTGCTCATTGTTTAGGTGTTGATGTAAATAATGTTGGAAATAAAAAGAATGAATTTGTTTCATTATGTAAACAATATAGTCATCGTGATGAAGATACTGCTGCTGTTATGATTTTAAGAGCTCTTCCAGCAAATGATGAATTTATTTTGCCATTTAAGAATTGCTTAATTAAATTAATACAAAAACATATTATTACTGTTGATAAACTCCTTCGTTGTCTATTTATGAAAGAACTTTCCTTTGAAAGTGAGAAAAAATATGATATTTATGTTAATCTTCTTGATACTTTAAAGAATGAATTAACTGACAATGAAGATCTTCAATTCCTCAATTTAACTAATGTACAACGATTAATTGTTAAGTCTGATATTGCACAAGCACGTATTGTATTTGATTCAATTAAAATTGAAACGCCAACTATTGAGAATTTAATGGTTAAAGCTCGTTTACTAAAGAAAGAAAATAAATTACCAGAAGCTGCAGAGGCTATGGACGCTGCACGACAATTAGATAAATCAGATCGTTATCTTGCTAACAGAACATGTAAATATTTCATGAGATATGGTAAAGTTGAAAAAGGACTTGAAATATTTAAGTTATTTGATAGAAGCCCAGATAAGAATGATTCTCCAAATAAGTTTGATGAACGTTTGGATGATCTTGAAGTTGTTTGGTTCTTAACTGAATATGCAAACGGTTTGTATGTTGCTGAAAAGTATCCTGAAGCTGAATCTGTTGCTCATAGGGTAATCAAAGCATTTACTACTTATCAAGAAGATCTTTTTGATTTCCATTCATATATTTTCAATCGTTTCTCTGCAGACACTTACTTAGCTTGTGTAAGGTGTTGTAAAGACTATGCTAATTCTCCTTACAAAAAACGTGCAGAAAAGATACTTTCTGATATTGCTTCTAAAAAGACAGACCCTCAGGCTTAATTTCAATTAATTTTAATAAAACCTTTATTTGTTATATATCTCTTTTCTAAAAAATATAAAAAGATTTACAAAACCATCAAAAAAGAAATTAAATTATGTATTTGTTGGATTACAAAGTTCTTTCAATATCTCTTGTTCTTCAGGATTATATGAAGAAATAAGTTGATTAAAAATATCAGTTGTTGTAGTTGCCCATTGACGAATATAAAAAGAAACAATTTCTTTTGTCGTTGATGAAATATTATCAATACAACCATCAGATATTGTTCTGATTAATATATCTAAAACTCTTTTCATAGTATGAGTATTGATTATAATCACCTTCTTTGCAATTAAAGTAAACATAATAAAAATAATTTCATCATCAAATCGAGTCAGTGGTAATACATTTAACCAATTAGACACTACTGCTTGATCAAACAATGAAGGTTCTTGTATAATACATTTCCCAAAACAAAGAATTCCAATTTCATATAAACGTTTATTTTGTTCTCTTAATTGGAACGTTTGTTGAACTATTTGAACTATTCTTGGAATAAACTCTTTTGTACTTGGATATTCAATCAATTTAGCTAAATATAATAATGTATTCTCAACACAAATTCCTTTAGAAATTCTATCTAAGAAAATTGCACTTAATTGTTTAATCATTTCTGGTTGATTAGCAGCTGTTGAAACTGTACAAAGTATAATATCACAGAATGACATTTCTAATGGAATAATATTTTGTTTATTTAATATAGCACATATCTGAGGAGTTATATATTTATTAATCAGACTAACAGATAACCTTGGTTGTGTTTTACAAAGAGTAGAAATAAATATCCTTAATTGCATTCTAAAATTAGACTCTACTCTTTTTTGTTCTTTAATTCCTTCTTCTAATTCTGTTCCATCTTCCTCATTTGGTTCTCTTTGAAGTTTAGCTTCCAATTCTTCATACTGTTTTTCATCATCGACAATTCTATTACATCCATCATTAAACAAAGTATTTATCATTTGAACAATATTATCCATTGTTTGTTCTGGAATACTATTTTCTGGACAAAAATCAATAATACAATCTAAGTAATTAAGTATTTTAGTTATAGTATCTACAAACCTTTCTTTGTTTAGTTGATCTAATATAACATTAATACAAGTTAATACTGTTGGTAAGTTTTCTTGTTTGACTTGAATTTCATTTTTAATTTCTTTCATTTTTCCTGATTCAAGTACTTTTAATAGTTTAAATACACACTTAGCTGCTAAAGCCCTTAAATCTTCATCAAATGGATCTTGAACTAGTTTTAATACTACTTCAAGACATGGCTGAGCAAAAGGATAGAATATACTCTTTAAGTCACTTGCAAAATCACAAATTGAATTTACAGCATTTCTTTTTTCATCAGTTAATCCAGTATGTATAGAAAATGGTTTATGATCAACATAAACATTTTTTGTGTCATCTGTTCGTTTATCATCTTGTCCACAAATAACATTCATTTGAGCACGACTTAATACAATTTGTAATACTGTTGGAAGGAATGGAGCAAAACGTTCTTGCAAAATTTCTGCTAAACGAGTAAATGATGTTTCAACAAACCCAAATAATGAATCTTCAATTTTTATGTTTGGTAATTTTAAGACTTTATCAACTTCTTGTAAAATAATATTTCCACACTCACTACAATAATCTCCTTTTAGTTCTAATGCAATTACACTTAAACATTCAATAAGTCTTCCTTTAATTTCATAATATTCTTGATTTGTTCCAATATTATTTAATAATGTTTTTAATACTTGAAGTACTTCTGGATAATAATGAACAAAATTAAACTTCATTTTGAGGGCAATAAATGATATTGCACATAATGCTTCAGAAATTACTTTTTTTTGGTTTGAATTCAAAAGAGATAATAGCCATTTTAATAAATCTCCAAAATATGGTTTCATCAAATTTGAGTCTATGTTATCTAATAAACAAGAAACAAAATCACATACTCTTGATACAATGCGTGGAACTGGATCTGCCAATAATTTAGCAATTATTTGAATACATGGAGATAAGAAATTACTTCTATTCTTTTGGTCAATTGTAAATAATTTATTTATAATAATAACTGCAAGAATTCTATTTCTTGGTGATTCGTCTAAATAAAAAGGAAATATAATATTAAAAATATTCATACTTTGTTTTAGAATTGGTTTTTTTGATCCTTCAAATGACCGATAAACAAATTGTAAAAATACATGTCTTTGTTCACAATTACCATTTGCTAATGAATAATGTTGAAAAATAAAGTTCATTGTTTGGGCAGATCCAAAAAAACTTACCATGGATGATAATCCTTCAACCCCTCTACTATATAATATTAAATCCTCATCATTATCATTATCTTGTAACCACTCTTGTGTAACTTTTATTGTAGATACCCATAATACAATTACTTCATAAATAACATACAACATTGTTTTATTCTGTTTGAACACTGGTGTAAACCTTTCACACATTGTTAATAAAGCATCAAATGCAGTTAATTGAACATCCTCATCATTAGAAAATTGTAAACAAACACCTGAACATAATTGAACAGTTATAGGAATATATTGAATTGCATATTCATTTTCTTCTTCAAATAATTCATCAATAGACCTTAATAAATCACTCACAATATCATCACTAACTTTAGTATTAATAGCTTCTTGAATATATTCAACAAATGTAGGATATATTTTATAAAGGTTATTAACGTCTGCTTCAACATCACTCGTTTGGGTTAATACTTGGAATAATTTAAATGTATCTTTTGTCCAACTAATATCATGTTTTTGTAAACCATATTGTATGATTTGAACGTATTGTTGAATTAATTGAATATATTCTTCTTTTGACTGTGAATATAAAATGTCTTCAGTTAAAATCTGAAATGCACGAATACGGTGATTAGAGTCACCATTCATAATCCATTCAAAAATAGCTCTATGAACATCGTTCCATGGTTTTTTTAATGCTTGCATTGAAGTATAAGCTCTTCCAATAATATTAGCATATCCATTTAAAACACCAAAATCATTTTCTGAATTCATTAATCCAATAAGCGTTTGATTTAATGTGTTTCTAAAACCATCATCAAGCGTTACATAAACAGATGTTTTTCCTTTCATGATCTCAGTTGAAAATTGATTTACAGCAAATTTTCTTACACTCACATCTTGGCTTTTTTGTAATACTAAAATGTGAAGTGAAATAAAATTTTGTTTGTCATTTTTTAGTGCATTGTATTTTTGTTCACACTCTTTGAACGGTATTTCATTCGCTCCTGTAGGACCTCTAATAAAAACACGAAATAAATTTTCTCCAAACTGAACTGCCTCCATCAAATGATTTTCTTTTTTTCTTTTAAGTTTTTTTAAGGGTTTATGACTATTGTCAACCCTTTTTCAGAGAAACAATTGTAAGAGGTTTGAAATAACAACTGATTTCTTTTGACATTTTTTTCTTAAAAGAAGGTGGTGATAACCATAAAGTAGTGTTTAATTGTGTATGATGACCAAACAACCTTGGGAGGTAGTTGTATGGTTTGGGTTGCTGAGACAATAGGATGGTTGTTAGAGTTTAATATTACAAGTCTTAAAGTATTATAATTAATCAATGATACATTAGCAGTTATGAAATGTGTCTAAAAAAGAAAGAAGATAGGAAATGGGTACATTAATTGACTCATTGAGTGAATGAGATAAAAAAGGCATACAATAACGGGTATTAAAGAGTCTGTGGATATTTGTTGTTGAACAATTACAAAGCTATCCATACATATTATATGTAGAGATAATAAATTAAACTTATGAGGAAATAAGAAGAAAAACATAATTTTTAATTGTTATAAGTTATAAATAAGGTATTAATTAATTTGACAGGATAACTTAGTTGATCAGACTTTAATAAGTCATTTATTTTGAAAGAATTAATGGGATATGTCTCATCAACAAATCTATTTGTTTGTCTCTTTCTGGGTTATAGTTGAAGTTCAATGCGTAATTTAATGTTAATATGAATTTTTAGAAATAATTCAATTTGTTATTCTTTTCAATAGTAAGTTTTATCTTTTCATAATATGGTGTGTGATGTTGTTTTAAAAGAAGAGAATTTTGTTTTTCATAGAAAAACATGATAAATTTTTCTGAGAAATAAAGTATAGTAGTATAGTATCTTCTTGTTAAAATGAGAGGAATAGAAATGATATAGTTTACAAACAAGTAAATAGCATAATAGTGATAAACAAACATATGACATTGAATAATGTTGAGTAATAGAAATAAGATATGAAAGTATTTATATTTTCATTGAGAATAGTCGTATGAACAATAGAAATATCATATACAAGGTTGTATAAATGAACAACATAATAAGTTTAGAAACGTTTATTATAATTATCAATAAGAATAAATAAAGATTTACAGAATGAATAACTCTTTCAAAAACATTGAAAAGATAAAGAAAATAATTTCAATAAAACAACAACTATTAATAAGAAAGAATTAAAATAAGTAGTAATTTAGAATAGAGTTATTGGTCTAATGATATAATTAAGTGATAAGAATTTTAATATGGTTATTCTTCAAAATAAAGATATATCAACACTATTCTATGAATGATACAATTCTCAAGAACAAGACACAATACATTTTTTTATGAATGTATTGTTATAAAACTATTAGTTGCTCTGATATAACAAAATTAATTATGAATCATTCAAATATTAAAAGTACAAAAACTAAGAAAATATAATTATTAGTCATTATTAAATTCTAAATACAAAAGATATAATTAAGAAATTGGTCAATAAGTTTAGATAACTACTAACAAAGATAATTTTATGTTTAGTAATTTACTTCATAACATACACAAACAAAGATTCAATTCCACAGAGAAATTAAGTAAAAATACCGATTAAAGCAGAACAAATTTTGATATAGAAATATAAGAATTTTAACATTAAAGTAATTGTCCTTTTTAATATTTCAATAACATAGTAAAAGTGATTTGTTCATTATTTGACAATGACAACAGATATTTATATAAAAATATTTTTGAAGAAAACACACACATCATATCATTAAATAAAATAATACCAAACAACAATAGATAGTCAAAGAATTATATTATATAAATTAATGTACATGTTTCTATACATTCATTATACAGAATAAAATAAGAACAAAATAAACAATAATTTAATAATTTCAAAACAAAAAACATTAAATATGAAGAGATAAATTTAATTTAAAAAGAAAATAGACATAAGAGAGAAGATTGGAAAGAAATGAAAAATTCATTTTATTGATAAGTCCAATATAAATTCACTTGTAATTAAGTATTATTTTATGTGGTTTAGTAAAGAATAGAATTAACAAAATCATAATAATTTCATTCAACACAAAATGGTTTATCTCTTATTTGATTTATTGTTGTTCAAATTTTGAGTAGAATCAATTTTGATTGTAAAAAGTATTTCAATAAGAGTTTTTTCTATTTTCAATTTGATGCTGTTTATTGCATCAAAAAAATTCTTCTTCTAGAACTTTTTTTATTGACAAAAGGATGTAATGAGACACTCATAAAAGAATACAAGGACAACATCAATAAAGTATGATTCAAGAAAAAGATGTATTGCAATAAGAACAAGGATGATGTTTTCATCAAAATCTTTTAGATTAATGAAGCATTGGTAGAGTCACAGAAGTTATTTAATAATTTTGATAAAAGAAATGAAAGGGTGAACAAGAGAAGAAGAATAAATAGTGGATAGGTGAAGTAAATTTTAAATATGATGAAACAAATGAGATGAAGAAGATAATAAAAAGGGAATGAGAGAAAGTCAAATAGTTAAAGAAGTTTTAGAAAAGATGAAGTTAAGGTATGAATAGAATAACAAGTTAAGAGACTAAAAGAGTCATAGAAAAGAAGGAATGGATTATAAGAAAAGAAAGATGATAGAATATAGAGAAGAAAAGAAAGAAAAATAAGAAGGGAAAAAGGAAGAAAAAAAGAAAAAACAGAAAAATCGAACTAAAAAAATTAAGAAATTGGTGGGACATGACAAAAAGTAATTTATTTGAACGAGTTTGTTTAATTGAGAAGAATCAAAAGAAAGGACTAAGACATAGGTGAAAATAAATAATGAAGAATACATTTCTATTTGTGGTGTTCATGAACCACAACACAAAAGTAAAAAATATCAATATCTTCAAACACCAGGAATAGTTAGAACGCCACATCTTATAATCTGTTGTTGTTTAAATATTGGAACAGAACCACCAGGATATAAAAAACCAAAAGTAAGTTCAAATACATTTGGATGGATTAATACTAAAGAACATAAAAAAAGAGAAATAGGATATGAAATTACAAATCAACTTGGAATTCAATATCAAAGATATTGTACACCAACAGTCTCAACAGAAGGGTTATGGGATCCATCAATAGAAAAAGTCAAAAAAGCATGTATTGGAGCAAGAGAACGATTTGGGAAAGACAGAATATTATTTCATTATAATGGACATGGAGTACCATTACCAACAATTAATCATGAATGTTGGTTTTTTGATGAAGATATAACTACATATGTGCCAATGAATATTAGTGAAATCTATGCATGTTTAGGGGAGAGAGGAGTTTATGTATTTGATTGTCCATATTCAGAAAGACTTTTCAAATGGTTTACAAAACGAAATGAAATAATAAAAAAACAACATAAAAAAGTAGCAGAATATATTGTTTTTTCAGGATATGGAGATTTACAAGCACCTCAAACAAATCCAAATTATCCAATAGATATATTTTCAACATGTTTAACGACACCATTATCAATGGCAATATTAGACTATTATTATTCAACAGAATGTATTATTCCTATACCAACGTCATTTTTAAAAACATTACCTATAGAAAATAAAACAAAAATACAACCATTTTCAGAATTATATGCTATTTTAACATCTATTATAGAAGCAATTGCATGGAATGTATTACCAGCAGAACTTTTTATGAAATTATTTAGACAAGATATTGCTGTAGCATCATTATTTAGACATTTTATTTTGGCATGTAGAATAATGAAAAAATTTAATTACAAACCACAATCATTTCCAGAACTTCCAGATACATCAAATCATTTATTATGGAAAACATGGGATAGTGTATTAGAACTTGCAATTCCTAAATTGATTAATTCAACAAGACAAATTAATTATTTACCATCACCATTTTTTAATAATTTAATAATATCATTAAAAACATGGTTATCAATTCATCCAGATAAACCATCTAAACCATGTATCTTACCAATGATATTTCGATTATTTTTAAGAAAAGACTATACATATGAAGTATTTGGATTAATTTGTGAATATGTAGATTTAGGATTTTTTGCATGTGATCGAGTTGTTAATATTGGGTTTATACCATTATTAGTACAAAGTTTAGAAAAAGAAGGATTAGAAGAATTTGGTGTTTTTTGTTTAGCAAAGATATTTTCATATGACTCAAGCCTTATTTCACATTACCTTAGAGGGTCTATTAGAACATTAATCAGAATTGTTCAAAAAGGAGAAAATCCAAAAGAAAGTATCTGTGGATTATTTTTATTAGCACAAATATTTGGAGATGGAGAAGTTATGAAACAAATTGATACAAAAGGACTTTATAATATTTTTATTGGAACGTCTAGAAGAGAGAATTGGCTAATTAAAGTTTGGTCAATGGTATGTTTAGCACGTCTTATTGAACAAGAAACAACAAAAAGAGGAATTTATGAGAATGCACAAATACAAGGAATGATAATAGAATTATCTAAAGACAAAAAGCCACTTGTACGAAGTTCAGTAATTTATTTAATAATGCATGGAATACCACAACCAAGAAGCGAAGAAACACAAGAAATGTTAAATGGATTACAAGGGATAATATTTGAATTAGCAAAAGATGGATGTCCTACAGTAAGAAGTTTACTTGTTGTTTTAATCTTTAAAATTATGTCAAGTGGATATAATGGAAATAAATATCAAGAAGTTTTAGAATATTTAGCAAATGATCCAGATCCAGATGTTATTAGAGCATCAGAAGGATTAATAACATTAAATGAAAAGATCAAAGGGTCAAGAATAAATATGAGAAAACAAATGGCATCACCATTAGAGCAATTTATTAAGACAAGCAAAAAAATATTTGATGATTTAATAGAGAGATTTTATTGTTCTATTAGAGACATATTTAGAAAACCATTATTAATAGAAGTTATTAATGAAAATAAAAGAGCAAAAAAAGAATGGTTTGAAAAACAGTCTATTGCAACACAATCAAGTTGTAGAGATTTATATATTGATATTCCAAATAGAGAAATGAAAGAAGAAAGTAAATTAACGATAATAAATAATATGTATATTCCTAAAAAAGTTATTTTCCATCCTACACTTCCAGTTATTTTAAGCGATGTTGGACATGATAGTATTGGAATATATGAATATAAAGTTAGTCCATTTCCAACAAAAACATTTTCAAATTTTAATGCAATTAACACATCAATTAATTTTATTGATTGGATGAATAAAAGTGATTCATTATTAATATCAGGATGTGAAGATGGAAGTATTAGAATTTGGGGAGATTGGTCAAATGAACATAAGTCAGTTAGTTCATGGAGAGGAATTCCAAACCAAGGAATAAGCAAAGCACGGTTTTCAACAATAACAAACAATAGAATTTGTGTAGGAGCTGATTATTCCATATGTGTTTGGGATGCCGAATTAGAAGAATGTATTAATACATTTAAAATAGAAGAGACAGTAAGTTGTTTAAGTCCATTTAGTGATAAGTCATTTTTTTGTGGAGGTAGTAATGGAACAGTCAATATTATTGATATTCGATGTGAAAATATTAGTCAATGGAAAGAACAAAAAAGGGAAATTGTAAATGTAGGATATTCTACTAGATCATTTACAGTTGTTACAACAAGTAAAGGAGAAACATCAGAAGTTTGTTTATATGACATAAGAAAAATAAGTGAAAGTCAAAGTTGTAAAGCATATAAAACAATTGATATTCCTGAAATTACTAGTGCATGTGTACATGAAGAAGCACCATATTTTGCTATAGGAACAACAAATAATTATGTTCAACTTTATAATGTAATAACAGGAACAAAATATCAAGAATTAAAATCATATGAAAATATCTTTAGATTTAAATCATATCCAGTTAATTCTGTAAGTTTCCCAGACTATAACTTTTCATTAGCAGTTACAACAAATACCAATATTATTATTTATTCACTTAATTAAAAAAATCAAATATTCTAATTCACTGTTTTTTATTTAAATTAAATATTTAAATTCTCTTTTTTAATATTTCATTGAAAAATCAAAATTCTCACCTTAATATTTAATCTTAGTTCTTTTTCTTTTCTTTATTATTAATCTGAAAAACATTATGAATCTTTTAATTAATTGAATGTCTTTTATCTTTATTCCTACTGTTAGAACATTACACCAAGCTGAACTTGTTCTTAACCACAAAAACACATATTTAAGAGTAAATTCTTCACATATGGAAGTTCCACAATTAGTTGAATTTATTCATCAATTAGTAGATAAATACCCAGGTCAAAAAATTTATGTTGACCTTCAAGGAAGTAAAATTAGAATATCTCGTTCACAACCAAATCTTATCTTAACAAAAGACCAATCAGTTGAACTCACTATTAAAGCACCAACAAAAGATACAAAAGCAATTCATATTGGAAACCCTAATACTATTAAACTACTTTCTCAAGGGACTCACGTTAAAATTGATGATGGAAGAATGGAAATTGTTGTTAATTCTATTAAAGACTCAGAAACAGCTATAGCAACAGTTATTAAAGGTGGAGAATTAAAACCAGGAAAAGGTTTTAATTTACAACCACATCCATTTGTACAAAATCAATTAAGTGAAAGAGATGCAGAAATTGTTGAAAAATTAAAGGATGTTAAAGAAGTATGTTTTGCTTTATCATTTGTTTGTGTAGTTGAAGAAATTCAAGACTTAAAAAAAAGAAGTAATGGAAAATATATTGTTGCTAAAATTGAACGAGAAATGGATTTAGAAAGATTAAAAGCAATTTCAAGTCAATGTAATGAAATTTGGATTTGTAGAGGTGATATGGGTGTTCAATTAGGATTTGTTGGAATGGCTAAATTCGTTAGAGAATATACTACATTTATGAAACAACTTAATTGTCCATCAATTATGGCTGGTGAAGTGATGGAACATTTATGTGATAATACTATTCCTACACGTTCAGAAATATGTTATTTAGGAAATTTAATTGCTGATGGTTATAATGGAATAGTATTATCAGATGAAACAGTTTTTGGAAAATATCCACAACAAACAATGGATTTTTGTTATGACTTTGTCCAACAATATTTAAATTAATTAAATCATTAATTTAACTTTTCTTTTTCTTTTATTTAATTCTATAATACAATCCATTTCTTACTATCATTGATTTATCTTATGTATATAGTTTAATCTTCATAATAATATCTTACTATTAATGACAAAAGTCTTTGTAATGAATTGTTTTGTTTTTTTGAATCAAAAATAAACTACTTTCACATTCTTTTTCATACAATATTGTTTATTAGAAGTATTAAATAATAAGTTGATGACTTTTGAATCATTTAACAAGTACAATGAAGTATGAGTATCAAAACCATAATAAAAGAAATTATTATGAAGTATTGTTTTTACATTAATTTTTAACAATACCTGAGAATGTCAAATAGTTAGAATCTTTATTATTGATAGTATTGCAATGTCTGTGTAGTTTTGGATTTAATCAAGAGTCTATCAACCTGAAAAACAGTGTAAATGATGTCAATTAAAATTGTAATGACTTGACTATTGAATGAATCTTTGTTTTAATATCTTCTTTTAATCTTGGTTTACTAGATAACCAGTTTTCTGCTTTTTTAACAACTAATTTCCATTCAACTTTATTCTCACTAAATTTCTCTTGTAAAACTTCAATGACAAAGAATGTTTGAATAACAGAACTCTCTACATCATCAACTTCAACTTCTTTAATTTCTTTAATTATTTTATCAACACCTACAAATTCTCCATTTGCTTTTTGGCATTTAATAATTTCTTCGTATTTTTGTTCTTTTGTTGTTTCAACTTCTTTCTTTCTTAGATTTGTTGAACATTGATCAACACTTTCTTGACTCATTTTTCTTTCACATTCATGCTTTTCTTTTTCACAACCATTTACTGTTGAATTAGTTTGTCTCATTGCCATACGCTTCATTTTTTCAGAGTGTTTCATTATCATTGGTTTAGCACATTCCATCATCATAGGTTTAGCACATCTCATCATCATAGGTTTAATAAAATGTCCGTTTCCTCCACATGATGGATAATTTGCATTTAAGTTAATATTCTTGATAAAGTCAACTTCTTTTTTGGTTGTTTTGTCAACAGCAATAAATGCTGTTTCTTTACAAAGAACATGATATTTCATTGATAATTTTTTTGCTTCTTCTTTTTTGTTTTCACTTTCTAATTTTCTGATTTGATTAAGTGCCATTAATTGATGAACAATAATTCCTTTGGTTATGTTAATGCTTTTTGTATTCTTGTATGTGACTTCTTTTTCTCCACATCTTCCTTTTATTTCACTTTCGATATTTTGTCCTTCTTTAATTTCTTCGTTGCATTGAATATAACATGTTGTCATTCCATAGAAATTACTAATTTCTTTTGGTGTTATCTCTCCTTTAATATTCCATTCAACTGTACATTCATTAATAGATGGAATGAGAATACGCTCAGTGATTTTTGAAACTTCTTTCTTCAATACATTTGGGTTTTTAGAAATGGCTGAAATTCCATTACCAATTCGACCTATATTTCTAATTAATTCTACATCACAACTTCTTCCTAATCCAACTCCATGTAATGAATTCTTTTTTGAAAGAGTTCTAATGTATTCAATTGTACTTGTCTTATTATCGACATATCCATCAGTTAATAAAATTATATGACACTTCTCCGTATTATTATCAATCAATGCTTTCAATGGTGCATGCATATTTGTTCCTCCATAATTTGCTTCAAAATGTGAAACAGTTTCTGATGCAAACTTTAATGTATCTTCATTATATTCTGTCATTTCTTTAAATATAAAGTCATATGTACTTCCAAATGAAATAATCTGAAATTTGGAGTTTAGTGGTAATTGTCTTAAGAATAATTGTAACATATTTCTTAATGCTGTGATTCCTTCTCCATACATACTTCCACTTCTATCACAAATGAAGACAATATTAATATTTCCTTCTTTTTCTTTACTGATGAATGTGGATGAAATGCCAACTTCATCTGTATCTTCGTCTTTCATTCCAAGTATTAAATCCCCATTTAATGGAATATTAACTTCCTCTTCTCCACTTAATACCCCTTTAAAACTGAATGTGGAACTTCCTGTAACTTTGATTGAATATGGGATTTGTTGTTTTTCATCTGACTCAATCAAGTTAGGAATCTTCATTACTAACTCGTCATCTTGAATCTCCATATGTGTAAGATATTCAATACTAAATGTTACTTCACTATGTTTATTGATTAGTCCAAGTGTAATACTGAATGTTGTATCATCAACTTGTTCCATTACAGCTGAACTATATCCATTTGTTGTTGCATCACTTTGTTCAATTTTAGC